CAACTGACATAATAACAGCATTGTAAAGAAAAACAATGTTGAAAGACTTGAAAACTATGCTCAGTGCAATGATCAATGAGCATTCCAGAGGACTGATGAGGAAGTGTGTTACCTGCCTCCTGACAGAGGGATAATGGACTCAAGTTGAAGAATGAGACATATTTTGGGATGTGGCCAACTCTGGGAAGTTGTTTTTCTTGACTATGCATATTTGTTCCAAGGGTTTTTGTTTTCTTTTCAATCGGGGAGGGGAGGTAGGAGAAAAAGGAGGACTAGTGCTAGAATTGCAAAAAAAAAAACAAAAGAAAAAGAAAAAGAAAAGAAGGTAACTTTGCACGAAAGAGAATAGAAAGACCAAAAAACCCCAAAAAACAAACAGACAAGCTGGACGGTTTTGAAAGTTAATATATAGAATTTATTATAATATTTAAACAGAAAAGGCAAACTGTACATAATAGATATTCAGAGTTTAATGTACAATCCTCTTTTTCTGTTCTATTATATACATATACTAATTTTATTTGGCATGTGTTAAGAAAAAATAAATTAAAAAAATAAACATTGGAATAAGAATCCATCATGAGGAAGACTGTGAGAGTACTATTCTGAGAAGGGAAAGCTTCACTTCAGTAAAACTGCATCAGCCAAGTAGAACACATTAAAGACTAGGGACAACTTGTTTTTGCCACTGACATAACCCTTGATGTTCACATTGCTCCAGACAAATACAACTTATTCATAAAATTCCTGGAATCCATGCTCACAGGGAAGACGTGACAGCCGTCTGACAGATCAAATCAAGCCCCCAGGAAGCCACAAAGCACTCACTTGTGAGGATGAGAAGTCAGGACTCTGATACTACTATGACCTCATCTGCACATCTGTCTTAATACAAAGCCTGCTCTGCTTTATATGCTGCTTCTCCAAATGAACAGTGGGCTAGTACCTTATTTTAAAAAAATTTTACTGGTATCTTTTTTTTACATCACCTTCATTTCTAAATATATTCCTCCTCCCTGTCAAATTTATAACAAAAAAATCTAAAAGGCAGGGTGGGAGAAGCCCAGCAAACCCAACACATTACTGAGTCTGACAGCATATGCAATGTTCCACACTCATAGTCATCCCCATCTCTGTAGAGAGGGAGGCGCATTTTTTTGAGGTCTTCCTGGGGTTAAGCTTGGTCATTATGATGGCGGAGGGTTCAGGTTCTTTTTCTGTTACATAGATATTGTAGTCATTGTGCACACTATTATCCTGATTCAGCTTCAGTCAATGGGCTAATTTCAAATTAGTGGCAGCCTCCTGCTGCTTGAGTCCAGGTGCTATGCTCTTTGGGTAATTGCTGATACTCCTGAAGCAGAATTCCTGACAGGTGTTCCCATCAGGTGACAACACCAGCATGCTGCTCCCTCCCTCCCTTTCCTCAACCAGCACTGTGGGGAATTGCCTCTCCCCACCTGGCCATTCCTGAGTGCTGACGATTGGCTACGGCATCCACTCCTATAAAAAAGGGTTGTTACAAATCAAAATATCTTTTTTCCCCCCAGATCATTGCTTACATTTTACTAACTGCTATTTTTATTAAGTGCTCAACTGGTAAGTTCCAACTGTTTGCTATAGACATCAGGAACACCTTGAATCCTTGCAAATTGACTCTCATCTCCAAGCAAATCTCTATACCTAAGAGTTTCTCGGACTTGGGAGGGGTTAGGAGTATGGAAGAACACATAAATGAGTCAGGGATTTCTACAGCCCCTCCCCTGGTCCACGGCCTTAGCACCTCACAAATGAATGAAAAGCAACAATTTGTTATCTGGCCTCCCACATAGATGCCAAAGTAATTTTTAATCCAACACATTTTATTTACTTAACGGGGAGGCTGTGGGGGAGGGGGGAGAGCGGTGAGGAGGAAGGAACGTTCTGGACCTGATTTCATCCATGTCAGGAGAAAATTTCTTCTTCCAAAGCAGATCTGCAACAATTATGCAATTTACTGTTCCTAAGAGTCTTTTAACCTCTTAGTGCAACTCTTTCAAATATTAGTTTCATTAAATCATTCTTCTGCTCTAGAACACAAAGTGGTTCCTCTTTGCCTGCTGGATGAAACCTACGGTACTTAACATGGTATTCAAAGGTATTTAACATTAGTGTTCAGAGCCCTTTCTCAGTTCTTGCCATCATGCATCCTTTACTCTGGCTAGTCCCATCTTTGTCCTTTATCTTTGCTTATCCTATTTCCAGCCCCCACAGAATTCCAGGTCTCGGTCAATCTACTTCTCTTCTTTCCATATGACTAAGGGCTCATTCAGCTCCTCTGCGAAATTCTCCTTTGATTAATGTAATTCCACTATTTTGCCTATCCAGTTATACCTCGAATTGAACTTGATTTTGCTATTTCACATAGAATATCTTCTTTGCAGTTCCATTATATGCTTTTTCTGTGCAGAAACCATGCATTCATTCTTTCCTTCTCATCCTCCATCAAGACTTCAACAGTACTCCAAGAAGATGTAGCAAGCACGACAGCCACACCCCGACGGAACTGGGCACACACAGCCCAGCTGAAGATTTGGGACGCAGACATCTACATTTGAGCATCTCACAGGTACCTCTGTGCTACTACCATATTGGAGTGTATGGGGTGTTCAGGGAGAACTAGCACCTCTGGTATGAGTGCCCGCCAAGCCCTTCTGGGGGTTACTCATCTACCTTAGGTGTCCACCTGATTCATGCAACCCTTTACCTGTAGCTACAAAAAGCTGTAGCATGCGCAGCAGCCACAGCCCATAAAACCATTTCAGTAGATGGCCTAAATCAGATTGAGAGTAACCAACAGGCCTCAAATCTGTCAGTGACTTAGGGGGTGTCTACACCAAGCATGTGAAGACTTCCCCTGGGTGGATGAGAGCAATTTCTTCCAAGGGCCATGAAGGTGGCTGATGTAGGTACTTCCCAAGCGCTTAGAACTTGGTCAGACATCCCGAGGTCACTCACTGCATCGTCCTGACTTTTCTCTTGCCACTGGACTTCATAACTCTGGAAGAGTGAGGCTGATGATTTTGTGCAATTCTGCCTCACTTCAATCCAATTAACAAGCAAATCACCCTGTGATATCATTGGTCCTCTTCAAAAATGAAGGCCACACAACACACTGAACAGAACAGCACTGAGCCACCAGAGGTTACCCAATGCGACGCTCCTTGAATCAAACATCTGCATAGTCAATGGGGTCACAAAGAGTTGGGCACAACTGAAAAATGACTGAACAATAATCCTAAGAGGCAATGAGTGTCACAACTCACTTAAGGCAAAGGATTCACAGGAATCATGTAAGGAACGCTGGATTTAGTCAGGGGAGCTTGGGTTTTGATCAGTTCTCTCATCTGTAAAATGAAGGGGTGGAACAAGGTGGCCTTTAATATTTATTTCTTCCAGCTTTAGGTCCCAGGTTGAATTTAAATCTCATCTATCCTCTGGCCTCCTTCAAATCCTAGCTAAAATTCTACCTTCTAGGGATGGATGGTTTTGGAGAAATCTAGGAAGATGAACATGATCTGATGTAGAATGAAGTAAACAGAACCAGAACAATTTACAGAATAACAGAATGCTAACAACTTTCAAAGACTTAGGACTCTGATCAGTGTAATGATCAACCACAGTGCAAGAGAATTAATAATGAAACTTGTTACCCAACTCCTGATATAAAGGGTGAAGGGACTCAGAGTCCTTCAGGAGACATTTTTTGGACATGGTCAAAGTGAAATTTTGTTTTGCTTGACTGTGTTTATAACAGAGGTTTTATTTTTCCTTCATTTTCAGTGTAGTTGGGAGAGGGTAGAAAGGAGGATTTTGCTGATTGCCTTTTCTCTGTTGCTTTATCCCCAATTTATACTCTATATCTTATTTGTCCATAGTTGTTTACACGTTGTCTCCCCCACTAGACTGAGCTCCTCAAGAGGAGGGACTTGTCTTTTGGCTTTCTTTGTATACCGAGCATTCAGCACAGTACCTGGCATGTAGCAGGCACAAAATAAATGCTTGTTAGCTTACTAAATGGAAAACCTTACACATGTAACACTCCTGGCCTTAATATTTTCATCTCTCATCTGCAAAATGAAGGGACAGGATTAGATTACCTTTGTGGTCCTTTCCAGCTCCATCAAATTCTACAATCCTGGTACTTTTCATCCTTAGAAGAAAAGCTGTTCATCGAAACCTATTGCTTTATTTAAGCACTCAGGTGGCAGAAGAGAATATCTAACCCATTCTGTCCTATTAGAGCCAAGAAAAAGCAACTGAATAGGAATATGGGGTTTTCACAGAGAAAATTCGCTTCAAATTCTCCAAAAAATCCTAGCAACTATCCTTGAATAGAATTCAAGAGAAGATACCATCAGAACTAACTTCTAAACAGCCCTATTCTCCCAACCAACTGCATCCAGTATTGCTTTTTTTTACCACTTCATTTTCATTTAAGTCGTTTCAGTAGCTATCTGGGTGAAAAAGAGAGTGCACTAATTCTTGCCCCTCCTCCCCACAATATTGTAATACTGTGCTACCAAGCTAAATTCTCCTAATTCTTCATTCCTCAGCCATCAGAAAGTTAATCCACTGGCAAGAAAAGTAAGACATGAAGGCAAGACAGTACAGTGGCCACCCCACAGATTCCAGGGAACCTTAGTCAATCTCACTTCTGAATTTTGTCCCCTAAGCTCCCATCCCACTTCCAAGTCAGGAAGATTGTTGGGTTTCTGTTTCCCAATACAGAAACAACTTGGCCCATGCATTTTTTTCATCAGGATGAAGCTTACAGAGATGCTAACAGACACTCAGCAGGGGAAGACTACAAAACTTTTTATGTTTTTGTGAAAGGCCTAAGGACTTTGAAGATTTTTCCTATGACAGGTACTGAATGTAAAATACGGGTGCTACACAATAAAAAGAAAACACACAACTTGCAATTCAAAAGTTTTATATGATTCAAAGGAAAAAGTTACATTACAGTTTCATTAAATAAGAGGTTGAAAAAGTCTGTTATAAAAACAATTATGAAACATTTTAAATTTTATTCTTGGAACTTAAAAAAAAAAGGCTCAAAAAAAATCAAGAGAAACTACTCAGGCAATAAAGTGCACAGGGAAAATTTGCCTCATCATTCTCAATCCATAATACCCAGATATTTCAGATGTAGGCATCTGAACCTAGGAAAAAAATAACAACAACAAAGTTCTGGTTCATGAGTTAACTTCTCTTCATAAGAGGACTTGCTTCCCAACCCTATATATTCAAAAAGGGACAAAAGAAATAAGAGAACCAAGAAGAATTTTACTAAGGATATTTCTATAGTTTTTCTAGCTAATTCAAGAATGGAAGCATAAATAAAAACCATTTTCAGTACAAATAAAATTTGCGTGTACGTTTTAAAGAATCAACCATTAAGTCCTCTTTCTCAGGGGTATGAAACAATCTGAAAATCCCAACCAAACACTCAAAGACTAATTCCCTTAAAGCCATCCATATTCCAGAGTACTAACAGTAGGACTCATAATTTTGTACATCCTAATTAGGAAAAATACTCAAATTGGGGGCCCTACAGAATATATACAATCATAAAATTCTGGATGCTTAGTAGCTAGTGCTACTATAGTAGATTTGGGAGTGAAGGTTTGGGGGAAGAAAAGTAAAAAAACATAAAATATACATATGAAATTATGTTACTTTTACAACTGTATCAAAACCTCTACAGTCTAATAGGTGAATTTCAAACACATCACTTACATATAGGTTAAATAACATAGTGACATTAGGTAGCATAAAGATCACTAAAGATAGTGAGGGGGGTGAGTGGATGGGGTTGGAATAGCTTAATATCATTGAATAAGGGCCTCAACAACAAATAAGCTAGGCACAAAACTTTGTAACACCAAATTCAACATTTCAATTTACCATAATTTTTATAAAGGTAAACTGCCAATAACTATATTCATATGTAAAAATCTAAGTACATAAGCTTTCTAAATTATAGTAGCAGTGCAACATACAATACAATCCCTACGGTCTAAATGTGGAGAACTACAGTGCAATGCTTAACAAAAAAATAATTTTTGTGCCTTGATGGACAAAACAGAATTCCTCCAGGGTCTGGGAAACATACAAAAAAAAAAAAAAACTTAACAAATGGTAGCAGTGGATTGCAAAGGACAGAGCCAAATAACTTCAGCCTTCCCCTTCATGTCTTTCCATTTATAAACATTCTTCTCTGCTGCTTCCAAAAATCACTTTCATTTTCCAGTTACAAAAGTTGTTGAACGGTTAAGTTATTTTTCTAAAATTGACATCTGCAACATTATTTTCTATTCTTGATGTGTGAGGGAATTAAAGAACCAGAGTTGGCCAGGCAACATGTATTTCACTTTAAAAGTAAAGTACTCTGGTGAACATAAAGAAAAAAAAAAACCATTCAATGGGCCACTTCCATTTACCTGAAAAGGTCAATTTACACACAACATACCAAAAATCCTAAGGTCACCATTTGTGAGATAAGAGAATGGGAATGGTTTGGCAAGAGTGAACACAAATATGCAAATTACAACATAAAAGTAATTGTCTTAAATGAAGAAAATTTAAATCATGAGGCAGTTTCTTACTCAACAGCATACAAGCCACTCTATATGCAAATGGCAGATCTTGGTCCTCTGACATTTTGGATCCCCAGACCATATCTATGGCTTAGGGTATCTACTTCAAATGACTAGACAAACTTTTGAAATGTTTTGAGGTGACACCACTTTTTTTTCTTTAAAAGGCCCTTAGTCAATCATTTATAGGTCTTAAAAATTCTTAGGCTGAGCACGACTAATGATTTCTTTTACCTGGATGATGTTCCAGGTTTACCACGCTGGGTAATTATAAAAAAAGTTTTTCATTATTAATAAAAAACAGCTTGCGAAGTAATTACAATATAAATACCTTTATAGAAAACACTAGTATAAAAATTAGTACCCTGTAACATTTTGTAAAAAAAAATTGACTACAAAGGTTAAGTGAATCAAGATTTTGTAAACTTCATGGCTAAGATGTTTTCTTTCAATGCTGGTGATTCAGATTATCAATTTTTGGAACACTTTCCTTTAAAAAAAAAAAACCCAAGAGTTTCTTAAACTACAAAACTGTAATCATGAACAGGGCCTCAATTAAAGAAAAAAAAGTGTTAACAACATGCTTTCATCAGGAACTGCCCAAAAAACCCTGAAAAAAATTATGTCAATTCTGTGTTTCAGCCATTACAGTAAGTGTTCTGAATAAAGGCTTTTAAAAAATATCAGATGCAGATTATGTCCTGAATGATTCCTTAGGCAGAGCACGATGGCATGGGGACTAGTGAGCTCAAAGACACCCCAGCGCTTCCAGGTTTCTCTGATGAAGCAATTCTGTTTAATTTGCCCACTTCAGCCTGCCAGTTTGGGATCTTCTTGGCCGCCATGTGACGCCGGGCGTGTTTTGTCAAGTGGTCGCTCCGCATGAAGCGCCGAGCACATACGGGGCACACAAATTTCTTTTCTCCTGTATGAGTTCTGCGGTGTCGAGAAAGTTCATCTGAGCGAGCAAATTTTTTATCACAACCTGCCCAGCTGCAGTTGAAAGGCTTCTCTCCTACGAGAGAGCGGGAAGGAAGGGAGGGAGACACAAGTTTAAAAAAAGAGAAAACATTAACCATCTAAACAGGACAACTTCTGGCCTTTTACATCATACAAGTCACTGCCTCTCTCTAGCTCTCTTTTTTTTTCTCCAACAATGCAACAAAAATGGAGACAATAAACAACAAAAATAGCTATCATTTAAACAGCACTTTAAGGTTTGCAAAGCACCTTAAACACATTATCTCAGGCAACTACATGGCACAGTGGATAGAGCACCGGCCCTGAAGTCAGGAGGACCCGAGTTCAAATCTGGGCTCAGACCAGATACTTGACACTTACTAGCTGTGTGACCCTGGGCAAGTCACTTAATACCAATTGCCAAAAAACAAACAAACAAAACCCACATTATCTCATTTGATACTCACAACAACTCTGTAAGGCAAAGTGCTTAGCATTATCTCTCTTTCACAGTTGAGGAAACCGAGGCTGAGAGGTTAAGCAACTTGCCCACTTAGGTAATGGGTCGTAGAGCTAGTAAATGTCCCAGGCAGGATTAGAACTCCAAGTCTAGCACTCTATCCACTGTACCACTTAGCTGCCTAATCCTAGTACTAGCCTTTTTGTTCTCGGGTCGTTTTAGTCATATCTGACTCCTCATGACTCCGTTCAGAGTTTTCCTGGCAAAGATACTAGGAATAGTTTACCATTTCAGCTCATTTTTCAAATGAGGAAATTGAAGCAAACAGGGTTAAATGACTTGCCCAGAATCACCCAGCTACTAAATGTCCGAGGCTGGATTTGAACTCGTAAAGATGAGTCTTCCTGACTCCCAAGCTCTATGAATTGCGCCACCTAGCTGCCCCATTATCCTCTCTTGCGGGGTTGCTGGAACATCAGTGCTTATGTCATTTCTTCTATGTATCTGTTATCTTTTATACTGCTACTGTATCTTGTGTCTTCAAATGTACTAGAAACTTCTTGAGAGCAAGAATCTATTTGTGCCTCTGCTTTGCACCTTAAACATAAATGCTCCATAAACACTTGAGAGTACTGCCTGAACACAAAAAGCAAGGTATTTACATAATCGAGCCTCCAAAGTTTCAAATTTTGGTGAAACTGATACTGAGGTCGATAAAACTACATTTAAAATGGCTAATGCAGGGGTGGGGAACCTGCAGCCTCAAGACCACATGTGGCCACGAGGCTGCAGGTTCCCCCCCTGGACTAAAATCTCTTATGGGGCAGCTAAGTGGTAAAGTGGAGTGCCTGGAGTCAAGAAGACCCATCTTCCTGAGTTCAAATCTGGCCTCAAGACACAACCTGTGTGACCCTGGACAACCCTTCACCCTGGTTGCCTCAGTTTCCTTGTCTGTTAAATGAGATGGAGAAGGAAATGGCACACCACTCCAATACCTTTGCCAAGAAAACCCCAAATGAGGTCATGAGGAGTCAGACAAGACTGACACTGAACAACAAAAAACAAAAGGTCTCTCCTGGAACTTTTCAAAGAACAAAGGTCTGTAATTTCCCCGGGTCTTCAACACCCAGCTAAGGGCAGGAGACCGTCAATAGGCCAAGTTTAGCCTAAATGCCCTCAGGAAAATGTCCATCCTCCAAGGCTAGACAGCCTGTATGTGCAGACACAGGGCAGAGGAAATGTACAGAGGATTGGGAGACCAGGTCCTGAAGTCCCAGGCTAATAACCGTAGAGTCAGAAGGGACATTAGAGGTTACCCAGTCCACCAACCTCATTTTATAGCGGAGGAAACCACAAAGAAGTTAACGACAAAGCCAAGATTCCAAACCGAACCAAAACTAAATCCAAGGCTCTCTTACAGCAGGCCCATCCATATTGAAAATGAATAAATTTACTAATTCTGTTTTAAGCATCTGGACCTGTGGTCTGATTATCATGAGCAGTCCCTTTTTTGCTCTATTATTTTTATGTTAGGTGGGCTAGGACAATAATGAGCAAGCTGCAATAGATCAATCCCATCTGTAAAATGAAGAGCCAGAATGGATCATTTCTAAAGTGTCTTTCTACTGTGAATCCTACAATCCTTTAAATCCCTTATATAAAATATTTATTCTTGTCCAAAGTTTTAGTTTCTTATGAAAAACCCAGTACTCAATACAATTATCAAACTGAACCCAATATGCTTTTAAAAGGATTTAAGTGAAAAACATATCAATGTAGTATTATGAGATTTAGTGCCTTGCACAGGTAGACCATTAATTAGGATGTGGAACTGTCCTACCTTAAAACCTCTCCGAAGGAGAGGTTTTAAATTAAGTTGAGGGTAGCAAGAAGAGGGACTGTTTTTATTTCCTTCCTACCCTATTCCATTTTCTTGCTGCCACTGACGGACGCTGGCTTCATGTATAACAAAACCCCATTATCACAAATTCCATATTCAGCAGTTCAGACAGACAGTACCTTGGTACTAGCATAGATGGGATTTACTAACAAAATTTTCTAGAGGAATTATCACCTAAATATTTGAGCCGTCTCTATTTCTGAGAATCAATTTATGGGTTTGGGTTGGTATTTTCATAATGTTCATCACCAATAATTCTGATCTATAAAAGTAGAATTAAAACACACATGTTGAAGTTACCAAATTGCATTGCCCTTTTAAAAGACTCTAATTCAGACTGATCCTACCACCCACATGTCCAAATCAATGATATTTTACCATATTTTTTTGCTCCTTTTTTTTTGTACTTGGGCACTGGGGCTGCTTTTGCAAAGAGCACACTTTGTAAAATGCAAAATATTCATGAAGTGGGAGAAGTGGACAGTGTTTTATATGCTACTGTACCAAATGTTTTATATGGGATAGTACCAAGTACAGTTAAAAAAAAAAAGTTTCGTCACTATTCCTATCAACTGGAACTACTCTGGTACTAAAACTAACGCTTATAATGAGCACCCTGAAGACCTGAAACATCCTGAAGTGTCTTCAGAATCAATTATCATAAGCTCCATGAAGAGCAGGGACTCATTTCTTTTATAACTTTCCTATCTCTCTGAACACCAAGCATAGTGCTATACTCAAAATATGATTTAATATATGTAGAATTACATTTTTTAAAAAAACACATTTTTTTTTAAATGGTGCTTGGTACGGTTTTGAAAATTGCTATTTCCTAGGAATATTAATAAAATCTGAGTTGGAAGGAACTTCAGACATCACTCAAGCTAACCCATGCTTGTAATTTCTAACCATTTTTTTTTTTATCGTGGACCCCTTTGGCCATCTGGTAAAGCCAATGGACTCGGTTACAGAACAATGTTTTTAAATAACTGAACAAAACGCTAAGTTTCAGTTAGAGGTTAGTGAAAATGAAGATGTAATTTTTTTCGCATGCAAGTTCTTAGACTCCCTGAAATCTTTCCATGGATCCCAAGTTAAGAACCCCTGACCTACACTCCAAGTGTTTATCCAGCCACTCATGGTTAACAACCAGTTAAATCAGAATGTCCTACTGCTTCAGTATTATTATTCTGTCAGTGGAAGAACAAGACCCATAAATCAGCCACACTATTGTTCCCCTATAAGCTCACATTTTCCCATCAAAAAAGATCTAGGGCGATTTCTTAACCATTTGGACTGAAATTCTGGCAACATCCAATTTTCCTAAATACATACTCACCAGTGTGAGTACGAAGATGGGCCTTGAGGTGAGAACTTTTGAAATAAGTTTTCCGGCATCCTGGAAAGTTACAAACATAATTTCTTCTTCGGGAAAAGTCTACTGAAGGGACACAGTTTTGACTGGGTGTAATGAAGACCGGAGCAGGGGCAAGAGGGAGTAACTTGGTGTTCCCCAGAGTCATGACATTTGGTTGGCAAGTGGCCGGCTGGGGGAAGACCAGCATAACAGCTCCTTGAGGCACCGACGTTCCCATGAGCACAGGCTGAGAGATCGGAGCAGTGTGGGGTAAAATGGGCTTGATGGGTGCTGGGTTTGCCGGGGAAGGAGGCTTCAAGAAAGCTGAAACCATTCCACCACTCTGACCAGTCACAGGAATCATTTGGCAAAGGACGGGGGGAGGGTGGAAGGGAACAGGGACAGAAATAAAAGACGCAGCTTTCCTTGGGGCATCACTGTCACAATTCTTTGGTGAGCACGTCTGTGTTGCGATGGGCCACACCCCCTGTTGTCCTTTATCAGGAAGAGAAGAACCAGAACTTTGTAAACGAGGTGGAGAGTGGACCAGATTAGCACGGTTTATACCACTCTCGAGGTGCAAGGCCTGAAAAGCTTCAGAAATTCCTGAGTGGTGAGTTTCCTTCAGGCCTATGGAATTTCTGCTGCCTGAACCGCCTTCCATGTCTCCTTGGGGTGCTGGAATGTGACAGGAAGCAGAACTGTCCCCAGTGTGGCGGATCACACTGGTTACCACGGCTTTGTAGGGCTGAAGAGAAGCTGGCTCAGGCACCTCTGGCTTCTGACTGGACAGCCCTGACTCCATCTTCATTCTTGACAATTTGGCTACCAAAACAGAGGTCATATTTGCAGAGGGAGCCGAACAGACCGCTTGGCCTGTTCCTGTTTGGGAAGCAGTGACTTGGGAGGGAAGAAGCAATGACGTAGATGGTTCAAGAAGATCGGGACTGTGAGGGGGAGTCATGCACTGAAAAGAAAGAACAAGGTCTGAAGGCAAGGTATGAAAAAGCTAGCACGGAGGCTTCAGGTTGATTTTAAAGGATATACCTTTAGAATATGATTCTTCTATATAGTGAAGACATAAATAAAATAATTTAAACATTCTAAGACACAAATGGCTTAAGAAACCAGAATGACCAAGTTTACAGATTCCAGTAAAAAGAAATCTCAGTGTATAAGCCCCTGTCACAATCTTATAGCAGCACTGATGGGCAGAAGCTGTTAAAAAACCCCTTCGTTCTCCAAGTTTTTTCCACTTTTTCTTTGTAAGCATCCATTCTCTCTTCCTATACACTTCAAACAGTGCGCATACCAATGCACAGAAGTGCAGGAAATGCCATTCCCCTTGTGCTTTCCTTTTTCTTAGATCATGCAACTTCAGATGTACACAGTGAAACAATGTAATTTCTGCAATTAGACTTATAATTCATGACATTTGTTACATTTAGAATTCTTTAAAAACAAAATTCCAATCGGAGCCTCAATCTATTAGACATCCCTATTCTGAGACAGGCATGATTATACCTCAGGTACTAAATTCTCCAGAAAACTGCCTCCTCCCTGTATCATTTTTCCAATCCCCATTTTCTATCCGTTCCCTGTTGTTCTGCACCCAAGTTTAAAGGGTCTCTGAAACACTGTCATTATTTCTTATTCCATCAACTATTGACTCATCACACTTCTACACTTCTTCCTCTACTGAACCTTTCAGCACTTCTCTCCAATTCAAGGGCTTGAGGCCAATCTCACTTCTGGTGGCCACCTGGAGGATCTGAACTTCTCCCTCATATTTCACCCTTGCTGACAAAGTTCACTAACAAATAAATCTTCAGGTAGAGATGGAGGTAGGGGATTCATCTAGAGAACAAAACCCAGGAAACATTTTAAAATATTCTTTCTATAAACGTATATATTTTCGTCTCCTAGTCCTATCCATACATTAATGAGAATCCCTTCAGCAATATCCAACAAGTAGTCATTGGCCCTTATTTGAAGACCTCCAGTGAGTGGGAGTCCACAATCTCCTCAGGCAGCTTATTCCACTTATGGAGAGTCATAATTTTTAGGTAATGTTTCAATTAAATTCCCACCATCACAATCACTAATCTGGTTAAAAAAGGGGAATATTAACTCCAGAAGGTCCCAGTTAAAATATATATTACCTAGAAAGAAAAGGATAACCCTAATCCTTCTCTAACCCCTACTCATTAGCACAAGCTGATCTACTAAGTTATTCAGTAGTTATTTCAGAAGGCACAGAAAGGACATCGCTGTAAGATTAAATATAAGACAAGAAAGTTTCAATGGATACCTTAGGTAAGAGGGAGCAGCATAGGGAGAGGGGCCATGGCAGCAGGGGCTAGGTGATGAGGCATCTGAGATGAGCACCCGTGCCAGTGGATGCCTTAAAAAAATACATTTCACAATTTTGCCTGGGGAAGTAGTCCGTCTTGGACTAATCAAAATGATGATGACAAAGAGAAATAAGGCAGAGGCGTATGTCCAAATTTCAGCACCCCAATTTCATCTACTGGATGCTTTAGCATCACCCAAAATACTAAGGGGCACACTGCTACCATTCCACAGTATATTTTCCTCACCTGAGCTGCTGGGATACCACTGATGTTGGAGAGACCCACGTTAGCAGACAGATTTTGTTCCCTGACCATTTAAACTTGAGGACTAACTGTGATGTGCAAAAGGAAAGATGCATTATATGGTAAGATGGAATTTTAGTTCGACATCTGCAGGGAGGCCAAATAACACTTTTCACAGAAACTCACTGTATTTACCCAAAACAAATACTTCCATATAAAAACCAAGTTAAAACTAACGTCCTGTTCTGATGCCTCACTGTGGTATGGGCTTTCAAAGGCTATGCCCAGTGAGCCTTCTGAAGACCAGCCCAAATAGGGTAAGAAGAGCTCATCATCAAGGCTGCCCCCTTCTTCCAAGCTGCAGAGGAATTACAATCTCGATCAGTGGAAGTTCCCACAGTGGGTACTAAAGTACTAAAGCCCAGCAATAATAAAATCTAATAGACAAGGGGCTGAATCATATATATACACACAGCCATTTCAAGAACGCTCCCCACCCCACCCTCAAACTCGCCCCCACTTAAACCCTCCCTTTCTCACCAGGGTAGAAAGAGAATGGAAGTCCTTTGGTAACTCAGACAGGACAGCTTCACCATGCAGGGCAGTAAAGTCTCCTGAATCCGAGACTGGAGTAAGTGGTCTTATTTTTAAGAGGTCACTTTTCTGGGATCTTTGACCCCAGGAACTCATGCAAACAAGAGCTTCAACAGCTTCCATGTCTGTGTGCTCCAAGACACTACATGTAGACCTCTCACTGTCATGTCGCTTCCTTTCCAAGATAGATTCACATATGTCCATGATGTCAGCCTGAAGAGAAACAAATCACAATCAATTTTCTTTTAGTTGAATAATTTTGTGAGGCATTAAGGATGAAGGAACACTGTCCTAGCTTGAAATTTCAGCTTTGCTACCTACTACTCGGTTTCCTCTCTTGAAAAATAGGAGTTGGGGCAGCTAGGTGGCACAGTGGATAGAGCACTGGCCCTGGATTCAGAAGGACCTAGTTCAAATCCAACCTCAGATACATACCACTTACTAGCTGTGTGACCCTGGGCAAGTCACTTAATCCCATTGCCTAGCCAACAAAAAAAAAAAAAAAAAGAAAGAAAGAAAAAAAAAGAAAAAGAAAAATAGGAGTAAGGGGCTGTAACTATATGGTCTCTATGGTCCATTCAGTTCTATATCTATTATTGTACAATCATTATCATATATATGAATATACCCACCAACACCAGAACCCTTTGTCTATTACAACCCTTTGTCTAAGACAGACTCCTACAAATTCCATCTTCTAGTAAGTTTCTTTTCTTTTAAACCACATTTCCTAAATGGAATTTCACTTTCTCTTTTTAAAACCATAGCTGGGAAAGGAAAAAACATACCTAACAGAAAGGCATTCTCATATGAAGCACAATGATTTCTAGAAAAGATTAAAAAAAAAAAACCTGTTTTTCAGAATAAATGATCAAAACTTGAACCACAGAAGTAAAGGCCAGAGCCAGAGCCTCAACTGGAACAACCATGCTCAGTGCAGAAGACTGAGCTGAATCCCCCCCCCTCCCCCGCCATGGTGAATTCCGACACATCCATCATCTTCACCAATGGGCACCAGTACTAAGTGGCACATGTCTAGACAAAGAAGCAATAGCCTCCTTCGAGGGAGCTTAAGAACAGTCCTGACCTTCTGAAGAGTTCACAAAGCCCTTTTAGAGCACTAAGAAAAACCTGCTTTCAGTAGCATGTCTAGGGAAAAAAAATCTGTACCCTGACTAAAGTTACAGTATTACCTCAGAGGAGGTTTTTCCTGGTTATCAAATTATAAGCTCAAGAGTGGAACCAAGTCTTCCACTTTCCTGGATCCCTAATGAAGCAGAACCAACTGTATTGGATATAATAGGCATTCAATAACTATCTGGTGGAGAAATACCCTCTTTATACAATAATACCAACTAACATGGGAGGTGCTTTATATCATAGGGTTTTAAAAAAATTTGGTAGTATTTTATTTTCCCAATTACATGTAAACATAATTTTCATCATTCATTTTTTGAAAGATTTTGAGTTCCATTTTTCTCCCTCCCTCCCCTTCCCAAGAGGGCAAACAATCGGATATAAGTTGTACATCTCACAGAGTTTTAAGATTTAAAGACGGAAGGAATTATGGAAGCCATGTAATGCAACCTCCTCTCATTTTATCAATGAGGAAACCAAACCCAGAGAAGTTTTAACTTGCCTAAGACTGTACAAGTAGTAAGCAACAAAGGTGAGATTTGAACCTGAGTCCTTTGGACTCCAGATCCCTCACTCCACCACACCATCAAATCTGATCCTCACAACAACCCTGTGAGCACGGAAGTAGGTATCATAGATATTATTAGGCCCATTTTATAAACAGGGAAATGGAAGGTCGGGGAAAAAAGTTTTGAGTAACCCAAAATCACCTTGTTAGTAAGTGGTAGGGGCAGGATTTGAACCCAGGTTTCTTTTAAGTTCAAGTACCATACCATGTTGCCCACCCACAGAGTTAACTAAGACCTATGTCAGTTAAACGATTTATACCTAGTCATGGAAGGGGTGAGGGAACTGGAACCCAGATTTCCTACATTACAGTGTCATATTCTTCCCATTCTATCAGGCCACCGTTCCTCCTGAATCAGGCCACAGCCTTCTCCTCCCCATCCTCCCAACCCTCAATATTTGTATTAAGAATCAGATGGTAACAGCTAGTTAAAAAAAGAAAAAGAATGAGATGGAACCTTAGAGACCCGGAGTCAAATCCCCTCACTTCACCACAGAGGAACTGAGACACCTTTCAAACAAACCCATGAATCAAAGGAGGCCTTTTCTCCAACACTGACTTATGATAACACCACTAATCAAAAATTCTTTCGGAGGTTTCTGAAACTGAAAGGACTGAAGAGATTGTCTAGTCCAAGCCACTTCCTTCCATTTTATGAAGAAACTGTAACCCATTGAGGGGATGTGACATACTCAGGGCAGGAATTAATAAAATCTAAATTATCTAACTGCAAATCCAAGGCTCTTTCCTTAAACTATAAGCAACTACTCACAACCTCAAGCAAAGACTTCAAGACCTCGTTGCTTTCCCCAAAGGGCCTCCTTTTCCAAACTGTACTTAAAACAGCAATAACCATGCCAACCCAGACACCCATTAACAGGAACAGCAACCTAGAACCAAAGGAAAGCAATCTGTGAACACACCCGTTCTGCCCCCATACCATACAACCCTCCCCAAGAAAAACCCCCTAACACTACTTTAAATGATCATAGCAGAGTGGGTTAAAGTTTATAAAACCCAAAAGCATCCCCAATCCTAAATACAAATCCATATATTTCAGAACCACTATCCCTTTCTATTAGACAAGAGGATGACACTGGTGAAAATAGCAACCTGCTAAGGAACTCCAATAGCCCCTTGGGAGACTTTCTGGAGGAGAAACTGGAATAAGATGAAATGCCAGGTTTTCTAGAAACTCCTCATGGTATGTAAATACCTTTCCGAATCTGAGTTTTCTTAGTATCTCTGGCTATAATGAGTACCCCAGCTGTATGCAGCCTGGGAGAGGTAAAACTGGAAAGGTGGGTGGGAATCAGACTTGGGAGTTTTGAAAGTAGACTAAAGAATTTGGACTTCATTTGGTAGAAGACAACTATTCAATCCAAAAGCATTTTTAAAGTACCAAGACACTGGGTTAAGTACTGGGAACTTAAAAAAGTCCCTGCCCACAAATAGCTTTTATTCATATTAAGAGCCCTGAACCTAAGATCAGAAGACATGGGTTTGAGATCTCATTCCACAGGTCCTCATTCAGTCCATAGCACTGAATGGACTATGTGACCAGAGATCTTTTTTCCAACTCTGAGATTCACCACTCAAAACAGCAAAACTAGAAGAAGCAAGGGATGGAAGCTGCTGAAGCAGATTCTGAATAAGGAATAACTTATTAACAATGAGAGCTGTCCAAAAGAGGAATGGCTTCCTGGAAAGGCAACGAATTTCCTCTATTGGAGGGACTTGAATCAAAGGCTGGATGACTACTCCTCAAGGACAGGTACTGTAGGCAGATGCTGGGTTAAGAACTCAGGTTAAGGAGCTCCTAACTTGTGGTCCTTGGAATTTGTGGGTAGATTTCAAAGGATCCAGAAATTTGGCTGGGGAAAAAAATTACATCTTGATTTTCACTAACCTCTAACCAAAACTAAGCATTTCCTTTAATTCTGAATTAAAACAAAACAAAACATATTGCTCTGAGAAGGGGTCCATTGGCTTCACCAGACTGCCAAAGGAGATCATAAAAAAAAAAAAAAAGCCAAAAACCACTATAGCAGAGCATCCATCCCATACTGGCTGTGCTGGATAGCTGCTGAAGTAGAGGCAGTTTAATACAGTATAATGAAAAGAGAGATGGATTCATAGTTAGGTAGTGGTTTCATTCCCCAGTTCTTCTACTTGTTATCTGTTTTCTTCAGAGTGTCCTCTCTGGCCTTTTTTCCTCATCTCCAAAATAATGGGGTTGGACTAGATGACCTCCAAGATCCCTTCCGGCTCTAAATCTATAATCTCTTAAATTCCTTCCAACTCTAAGATTAAGTGATTTTTAAGAACTGCAGTCTTTGCTCTTCCAAAAACTAACTGTATGACCTTAGGCAAATCACTGGGTCTCGAGGGGTCACAGTTCCTCCATTTGCAGAATTCGGGGGTAAGGGAACCCCATGGCCCAGCTCTAAACCCTTCACCTTCCACCTAAGCCAGCCCAAAGGTTCTTAACTTCTTTGTGCCATGGGCCCTTTGGTAAAGTCCATGGACCCTTTCACAAAATGTTTTTAAAATGCATCAAACACCTCCAGGATTACAAAGGAAACAAATTCTACTGAAATAGTTACAAAAATACTAAAAAACCAAAGCCAAAAGCAACTTCATGGATGGTCAATGATAAGGGACCAGGACTTAAGACTTTTTTTTGGGGGGGGGATGTGTGTGTAAATTTTTAGCCCCTCTCCAGGCAAAAGGAGACAACCAAGGAAAGAAAAGGTGCTATTTCCTTTTTCCAAGTTCATTTTTCCCGAAAGAGGAGTGGTGCAGGTCTTCCCTCTCCCCAGTAAGGTCAAGTCCCACATATCTTTCCAACCTAAAAACCTAACTCCCCCCCCCAACAACCTCCACCCCAAACCCCTGCAGTGAGGAAGTAGCTATCTGGTTGAGAGGCGGGGCCCCTGAGCCCCACCTCCCCTGCCCCGCCCCAGCCACCACCCACTCCCTACAAGGGCACGGTGACGTCATGGGTGGGCTAAGCTGGGGCCCCTCAGGCAGACCCTCTACTCAGGGGGAGGGGCGGAGGCTCTGGGGGGAAAAAAGAAAGGGAGACTGAGTCCAGCATCCAGGACCGCCCCCCACCAGCCAGTCTGGGCCGGAAGCCTGGAGCGCTATCCCCCGCCAATCCTGAAACCTGGTAGGGCGCGACCCCGAATTAGTTATCCACACCCCCAGTCCTTTCCGAGGCCAGAGGCCTCCTCCGGACGCCCTCTCGGAGGCTGCACCGGGACGGCCAGCGCGCCACGCCGCCCTGCCCCGCCCCGGGCACCTAACGGGACCAGGATGGCAGCGGGATCTCCCGCACTCTGCACCCTCCGTCCTCCCCTCGCAAGCCTGGGGCTATCTCCCCCGCTCCCCCCCCCACACACCCACCCACTCCCAGGCGGAAAGGGGGTGTGAGCGTCAGGAGCGAATGAAAGCGGCTGCACGCGCACAGCCCCCTCCCAAATCAAAGCACCAGCCCTCCCGCTCCTGCACGCCCAGGATGCCCCCGTCCCCAGGGTGGGAGGCAAGAGGGTGAGCGAGTATCCTCCCCTCCGACCCCCCCACCAAAAAAAGCAAGTAAATAAAAGGGCCCACGATCCCCACCACCCAACTTGACGGTCAGCCCAGCATGGAAACTCACAGCGGACGCATCTCCCGGGCTGGCCGTGCCGGTGGTGTGCATGGCGAGGGAGGTCGGGAAGCAGCGAAACAGGCGGGAGCTGAGAACCTCCTGACCGGGCGGCTGCGGCACATGTGGAGAGCAGGCGGCGGCTCTCCGGAACCTTGCACGGACTTCGGGGACAGCAGCCGGCGTAGATCCCCGGGCAGGGCGCGCGCGCCTCCGCCAGCCCGCCCGCCAGCGCACACCGCTCCGCCCAGGCCACTGCCCTCGACGTGCAGGGAGGGGAGGAGAAGGGGTAAGGCAGGGGAGGGGAAGGGGAGGGCGCTAAGAGGCCCGGGAAGGAGGGCGGGGCTCAGAGGTGAACCAAAATACGGCGCGCCCCGCCGCGGAGGATACGGAGGGCGGCTAGACCAATCACGGGCGATCTCATAGCCGCCGGGCCAATGAGGGCGGCGGGGCGACGCGTGATCGGAGCCTGGTCCAGGCGTGATCAGGGGGCGGGGTGCGGGCACGTGTTTGTGTCGAGGAGGAAGAGGGCGGGGCTGGGAGGGCGAGTCCTGGAGAAGAGAGGAGGGCGGGAGAACTGAACAGCGGGGAGAGTGGGCGGGGCTTGGAGGGGGAAACCTAGGGGAGGGGGAGGAGGGCGGGAGAACTAAATCGCCGGGTGGAAAGTAGGGGAAAGGTCTCGGCGGCGGTAGCGGCGGCGGCGGGCGGGGATGTCCCTGCGGTGCGCTGGGGGGAGGGATGGAGGCGGGGCAGCGCCGCATTTTAAAGGGGCCACCTCGGCCTTTACCCTCTCCTGCTGGCATTGGGTTCAATTTGAGCGGTGCAGACTGCCAACGTGGGGTATTTTTGTATACACAGTATAAAAATAGATCAGTAACCTACATTCTTTGTCCTAAAGTAAAATTAATCCTGCACAACTAGGATTCGCAAAACTTTCAAAAGAGACCAGTTGGTTATCAGTTGCATTTGTGGTGCAGTCGGTTCATAAACACTTATGAAGCTCCTATGTACCAGTCTCTGTGCTTGAGTGCTGAGGATACAAATAGACTAAAGACAATCCCAGCCCTCAAGGAGGTCACCATGTAATGAGGCAGCCAATAAGCAAACATCTACAAAGTTACATACAAGATGAAAAGGGAATTAATTAAATTTAAATTAAATTTAATTAAATTTAAATTTAATTAATTAATTAAAAGAGGGAAGGCACTAGAAGAATTAAGAGGCTTTTGTGCAGAGGAGAAAGTCCCAGATTTGGAGGCAGAGAGCTACCTCTGTATCTTGACTCTGCCCCGGTGATCCCTATAATCTCGGACTACTCCTTTCCTTTTTCACCGAGCCTCAGTTTCTCCTTTTCTAATATATCCTAAATCTGTGCTCTTTGGACTGTTATCATCCCCATTTTACAGAGGGAGGAAACGGATATACAGAGAGGGAAAGAGATTCACCCTTAACCTTGAGACTCTTGACTTCTAGTCCAAGGCTCCTTGCCTTCACATTCTGAAACTTCGGGCTCAACCCAAAAAGGAATTTAAATGCTGAGGGTCTAGGATCAGGGGTGAGGAATCTGTGGCCCTCTAAATCCTTAAGTTTGGCCTTTTGACTCAATCCATTTGGATTCAGGATCAAGAATTCCCCACCCCTGGTGTAGGAGATCCAGATTGTGAGTGCCTCATGTCTTGTCCACCATATTGGGCCAGAAGCTCCATCCATACTCCCCAACAATTCATTAGCCCTATATTATAGGTGACTAATAATAAATATTGACTGTCCTCCTGTCTATCTTAGGTACCCATGGGAGTGATCACTGGGGAGATCTCACAATCACTCAACATCACCCAAAACTAAGGCCTCTTCATGACCAAATTCTCCAACCCTTCCAGCTTTCTTTCCTACTGTAGCAAAGATAGGGCCACATGACTAATCCCTTTACAAAATTTTGAACAAGTTTCTCCTGGATTGAATAATCTGAGATATGCAGTGTGACCTTATCTTTACAGTTAAACCACTCCTTATCTGCCTTTGCTTTCTGTTTCTTTTTTATTATTACTAATTTATTTATTTTTAGTTTTCAACATTCACTTCCATAAGATTTTGAGTTTTAAATTTTCTCCCCTACCACTTTTTCCCCCTCCCCCCACGATGGCTTACAATCTGATATAGGCTACATGTACGTTCACTGTTAAGCATATTTTCCCAGTAGTCATGATGTAAAGAACAATTAGAACTAATGGGAGGAACCACAAGAATGAAACAATAAAACAAAACAACAAAGGAAAAGGAGAGCAAATGGTGTGCTTCCATCTGCATTCAGACTCCATATTTCTTTCTCTGCATGTAGATAGCAATTTCCATCATGAATCTTTTGGAGTTGTCTTATGTTCTTGCACTGCTGTGAAGAGCCAAGTCTATCAAAGTCAGTCATCATACAATGTTGCTGTTACTGTGTACAATGTTCTCCTGGTTCTGCTAATTTCACTCTGCATCAGTTCATATAAGTCTTTCCAGGTTTTTCTGAAGACTGCCTGCTCATCATTTCATATAGCACAATAGTATTCCATTATATTCATATACCACAACTTGTTCAGCCATTCCCCGTTTGATGGGCATTCCCTCAATTTCCAATTCTTTGCCACCATAAGAGCTGCTATAAATATCTTTGTACATGTGGGTTCTTTTCTCGTTTTTATGATCTCTTTAGGATATGGACCTAGAAGTGGTATTGCTGGGTCAAAGGGTATGCACAATTTTATAGCCCTTTGGATATAGTTCCAAATTGCTCTTCAAAATGGTTGGATCATTTCACAACTCCACCAACAATGTATTAGTGTTCCAATTTTCCCACATTTTCAACATTTATCATTTTCCTCTTTTGTCATGTTAGCCAATCTGATAGGTGTGATATGGTACCTCAGAGTTGTTTTGATTTGCATTTCTCTAATCAATATTGATTTAGAACATCTTTTTCATATGACTATAGATAGCTTTAGTTTCTTCTTCTGCGAACTGCCTGTTTTTATCATTTGACCATTTATCAGTTGGAGAATGACTTGTATTCTTATAAATTTGACTCAGTTCTCTATATATTTTAGAAATGAGGCCTTTATCAGAGACACTGATTGTAAAAATTCTTTCCCAGGTTTCTGTTTCACTTCTAATCTTGCATGCATTGACTTTATTTGTGCAAAAACTTTTCAATTTAATGTAATCAAAATTGTCCATTTTGCATGTTATAATGTTCTCTATCTCTTCTTTGGTCATAAATTCTTCCCTTCTCCATAGATCTGAAAGGTAAATTATTCCTTGCTCTTCTAGTTTGCTTATAGTATCAATCTTTATATCTAAATTATGTACCCATTTTGAAGAGGAAATCAAAGCAATAATTAGGAGCTATTTGCCCAACTGTATGCCAAAAAATTTGACAATCTTAGTAAAATGGATGAATATTTACAAAAATATAAATTGCCCAGATTAATGAAAGAGGAAATAAAATACTTAACCCCATTTCAGAAAAAGAAATTGAACAAGCCATCAGTGAACTCCCTAAGAAAATCTCTCCAAGGCCAGATGGATTTACAAGTGAGTTCTATCAAACATTTGAAGAACAACTAATTCCAATACTATATAAACTATTTGGGAAAATAAGTGAAGGAATCCTACCAAATTCTTTTTATGAAACAAATATGATGATGATACCTGAGCCAAAACAGAAAAAGAAAATTATAGACTAATTTCCCTAATGAATATAGATGCAAAAATTTTAAATAAAGTATTAGCAAAGAGATTACAACAACTTATCTCAAGAATAATACACTATGACCAGTTAGAATTTGTAACAGGCATGCAGAACTGGTTCGATGTTAGGAAAACTATCAGCATGGTTGACCATATCAACAATAAAACTAACAGAAATCATATGATTATCTCAATAGATGAAGAAAAAGCATTTGACAAAATACAACACCCATTCCTATTAAAAACACTAGAGAGCATAGGAATAAATGGAGCCTTCCTTAAAATGATAGATAGCATCTATCAAAAACCATCAGCAATGATTTTATGTAATGGGGATAAGCTAGAAGCATTTCCAATAAGATCGGGCTGAAATAAGGATGTCCATTATCGCCACTGTTATTCAATATTGTGCTAGAATTGTTAGCTGTAGCAATTAGAGAAGAAAAGGAAATTAAAAGAATTAGAATAGGCAAAGAAGAAACAAAGCTATCACTCTTTGCAGATGATATGATGGTATATTTAGAGAATCCTAGAGAATCAAGTAAAAAACTACTTGAAATAATAAACAAATTTAGCAAAGTTGCAGGATATAAAATAAATCCACACAAATAATCGGCATTTCTATATATTAATAACAAAGCCCAGCAGCAAGAGATAGAGAAATTCCATTTAAAAATACTGTAGACACTATAAAATATTTGGGAGTCTACTTGCCAAACAAACCTAGGAACTATATGAACACAATTACAAAACACTTTTCACACAAATAAAGTCAAATCTAAATAATTGGAAAAATATCAGTTGCTCATGGGTAGGCCGAGCTAATATAATAAAAATGAGAATTCTACCTAATTAATTTACTTATTCAGTGCCATACCAATTAAACTACCAAAACATTATTTTATAAAGCTAGAAAAACAATAACAAAATTCATCTAGAAGAACCACAATCCAGAACATCAAAGGAACTGATGTAAAGAAATGCAAGGGAAGATGGCCTAGCTGTAACTGATCTTAAATTGCATTATAAAGCGGCAATCATCAAAACTACTTGGTACTAGCTAAGAAATAGAGTGATGAATCAGTGGAATAGGTTAGGTATGCAAGTGACAACAGTCCATGACTATACTAATCTACTATTTGATAAATCCAAAGACTCCAGCTTCTGGGATAAGAAATCACTATTTAGCAAAAACTGCTGGGAAAACTGAAAAATAGCATGGCAGAAACTGGGCATAGACCAATACCCTACACCAAGATAAAGTCAAAATGGGTACACAATTTAGATATAAAGATTGATACTACTTTCTGTTTCTATGCATAGTTGTCACCCTTAGTAGAAGGTAAGCATCCTGAAATAAGGGATTACTTAGGTTTTGTCTTTGTACTTGCTGGGAAAAAGAAGGCAATGATTAAATGCTTCTAGAAACTGAAAGGAAAAGTGACCAGTT